CAGTATTCCGGCACCGCCGCTCTTTTTACTGTGGAGCGATCGAGTTTTGAAAATCGGTCCGGGGTGTGGTACCTTGTGTCATGTGGCCTGCGGTATGTCAGGGAATGAGCCCCCCCCCCCAGAAGACAGGGGGTTAGAGTTTGGGTAGACACCGCCGTGGGGTTCACCTGTACACGCTGGTTTTTTTTTGTTTAGGGTTAGGGTTAGGGTTAGGCACCGCCGTGGGATTCACCTTTACACGCTGATTTTTTTTGCTATCTAGACGCCCAAAGGCACCCTGCTGCTCTTTCACCCCCGAAACGATGTTAGTTTAGTATCTTGGAAGTATTCATTGCGTCCCCTGTGGAATGGGGTTGGGACCACCAAAACCTTAACCTTTCGCCGGAATGTTCACAGGCGGTGGCTTCAGTGGGGGGCCTCTGTTGTGCCGGTTGGGTAGTGCCGATGCCCGGTATAGTGTCGGTGTTATCGGCCTCGCAGACACTGAAATACCAAAGTCGTGCTGTACTCTTGAATACTGCCGGAAAAACTGTCGGGACACAGCCCGGCACTGTGGAGGTCCCCCCGCTGCATTTAGGTTAACGGTCAGTCTCTCTGAACAGAGGGACGCAAATTGGGAGCGGAAGAGTCGTCCTTCAGCGTGGAGACACTGTTAGCGCCGGTGCAATGACTCCTTTTTTTTTCACCTTGCCCAAGGCCCCTCAACTTGGTTGGCATTCACCCTCAGTCCCTGGTCCGCGCCAAGGGTATCTAGAGTTCTCTTGTGGGTGTGCTCATCGCCTATCATGGTAGGTATTTTCGAGGGTCGCATTTTTTAGTGGGGGGCACCGCTGCTGGTGCTGTTGTCGTATGAACCCCACGTGGGCGTTGGGGCATGACCGCCCTATGCAGCGCACACGTTGAACCTCCCAACCTCCCCCCGTGTGGGTCCGCTCCATCGCACAAATTGAGGTAACAATTTCCAGACGCACGGGGCCGGAGTTAACCATGTGTATATATGCTGTGCGACAAAACAGCTCACCGGCCCCGTTGTGTCTGTCTTCAACGGGTGATGCCGGCCGCACACGCGCTCGACTTTACTGCACGTTTTCCTTACAAACCATGCTGTGCGACGGAACAACCCTTAAGACTCTAACCCTAACCCTTAATCTTTCCCTAACCCTAACCCTAACCCTGACTCTAACCCTAACCCTAGCCCTTTCGCCTGTCTTGGACGTGTGATGCCGTGCTTGACTTGACTGCACGGTTTCTTCTTTGAAGAGCACTTTTAAGCTCCCCGCGGTGGAGCAGATCCTGCGGGAGTTCCTTCCCCTGGAGGAGGCTGTCAACGAACTCCTGTCGCCGCAGATAAACTGGGCTCCCCCGGGCTACAAGCCCACGGACAGGTGTGCCCCTTGATTTTTTGGACCGTCTTGGCGAAAAATTAAGTTCAATGAGAAAATGGAACAGGGAGGGGGTACGCAGACCCTATCTCCAACCCAACTTCCCGGGTTACATAGTTTATCCAACATGTTTTCCTTATTTATAAAACCCTTCGAAGGCTACTGCTGTTTTTTTTTTTTTTTTCGGTGCGTGCCATTGAATGCCGGCGTTCTTTCGATAGTTCCCCGTGCTTGCCTTTCGCGCAGATACGCCACGACCAGGCATCCCTAGTCGGTGTGTAATGGATTGGTGTTGTTGCTCGTCGTCCGTCTCTGTTC